TCCTGCTGGCGTGTTAATTCATAGTTAGTTTATTAGCTCATTCCTTCATTATATTATTCATGATATCTTAAAAAATCAAATAGTTTTGGGCAAAACTTATACGATAGATAATTAATTAATTAGTTTTTTAATAATCTATCTATTAATCCAATTTATTATCGGTATCTAACGTGGGTATCTATCTAATGTGGGTGGTGCATAGTATTTGATAAGTCAAGGTAGCCGGTAGCTGGTATTTACAAAAGATATTTTTTGATGAATTTCAAGATTTTTTAATACTTAAGTAAGTAATTTTTTTAGAAATAAAGGCTGTGATATTTTAAAAAGATTCTGAAAATAATTCTGATAATGATATTTTGAGAATGAAGATTGTAAACCTGATGTTTGAATGATTCATGATTTATTTATAGCATATAAGTCTTGTCTTTTTATGGAGACGAGATGATAAAGTATAATTTTTTTTTACAACACTAATGATGAAAAATATCCCTGATATATATATTAATAACGAATAAATATTTCCTACACAAATATTAATGTGTTAACAATATGATAGGCTATTAAGAGATTTTTTATACACCATCTATTATATAATATTAATGCAAATGAAAATATGATGAGTCTTTAAAAAACTTTTATACACCTAAGAGTGCAGGGAAAATAAGATTTAAAATGTAAATGAGTTCATGAGAGCTGAACTTTTCTTATAAGTCGAGCTCATAAAAATCAAAATCTATAATTTTGGGCTTTTCTTCAAGATTATAAGCCCACAAGAATTTGACTCTTCTTCTAAGCTAAATCCATAACATTGGACTCTTCCTCAAGGTTAAACCCATGAAAGCTAGAGTCTTCTCCTAGTTTGAGTTCATGAAAACAAGGTCTGGACATGTTGTTTAAAATCATAGATGTAATTTGCAAGTCTTTAACTACTATCTTTTAACAAACTCTAAAGTCAAATTAAGGAAGGCCTTGATATTAGTTTTTCATAGGTGTCTCATTCCCTAGATTTTTTTTTCATCTAGAACTTTATTTATAATATATGATTTAATTTGTTTCTTGGAGTCAACTTTGAAATTATAGATGTAATTTGCAAATCCTTAATTGTTTCGCAGTAACCTTTGATTGGATGGCGAGGAAAGTTTTGTTGTGAGAAAAATCAGAATCACTTTTCATCATCAAATTATTTCATGCATTATTCATTGTTATTGCTTTCATGTATTCATGGATTACCATATTCATTGTTATTGCTAGAGCATGGAGTAAAAGGCAAATTTTTTTAATTTTGGTCCTGCACTGCATGATTATTTTATAGCAAGTTGCACAGAGTTTATATAAGTAAACTTACGATGAACTAAATTCATCTAATAATTTGTTCTTGACTGCGAAGAAATTTAATCTTGATATATACACAGAACCTTATCCAAAAACAACCTAGACATTATAATTAAAATAAACTGGTAAATTAATCATTCCTACGCTAAATTTATTCATATTTCTAGAATCCAAAGAATACACCGAATCACAAATTTTTTAATGAAGAAAAAAAGCAACCCAAATACCAATCTAAACTCAAACTCTGATTTTTTTTGTAAGGATATATCAATAAATACACTGAATCACAGAGCATATGTTAAAAAAAAATTAAAAACAAAGATTGATAGAAAAAAAATCATACCTAATGTGAGTTTTGACACGATTCAAGGTTGGGTATGAAAGAGGGAGGTGACTACCTGACTGGTTTGCTAGATTTGGAGTTGGACTCTAGAGGTTCGGTATGCTAGTGTAGTATGTGTCATAAGATTCAAGGTCGGGTGAGACCGTGTGAGAGAGGGATATGGCTGACTGGCTAGTTTGAAAATGAAGATGGTGTGAGAGACTGTTCGGTGTGCCAATGTGATGTGTGTCCTACGATTTAAGGTCGGGTGTGACCATGTGAGAAAGAAATGTGGTTGACTGGTTAGTTTGAAGATGAAAATGGTGTGGGAGATGGATGTGGCTAGTTGTGGATGAAGATGGATTAACTTGAATTCGTTACAGATCTATAAGTGAAAGTGTGAAATTATGAATTGTGAGGGTTGAGAGAGCGACTTAGGAGCAAGGAGAAGGACGACTGGAGTCTGGACGTCAGGGTTAAGAAAAACAAATGCATTTTTTTTGTATTTATATTACTCCCTTAACTGAACCGATTTGGTTTGGTTGAAGTTTTTTTGGTTTCATGTTTCTGAAACTGAAACCGAACCAAACCAAATTTTTTTTTAAAAAAATTTTAATCGGTTTAATCAGTTTCTCAGTTTTTTTGCTCACCCCTACTATCTAATGTGGGTGGTGTTTGGTAAGTTAAGGTAGCCGGTAACTGGTACTTGCAAAAGATCTTCTTTGATGAATTTAAGGATTTCTTAATGCTTAATAAGTATTTTTTTTAGAAGAGTAATAATATTTTAAAGAGACTTTGAAAATAATTTTGATAATGATATTTTGAGAATGAAGATTGTAAACATGATATTTGAATAATTCATGATGTATTTACAACATAGAAGTCTTGTATGGTGTTTGGTAAGCTAAGGTAGTAGGCAATTGGTACTTGCAAAAGATCTTCTTTGATGAATTTGATGATTTCCTAATGCTTAAGTAAGTGTTTTTTTTTTTAAAGAGTTGTGATATTTTAAAGAGACTTTGAAAATAATTTTAATAATGATATGTTGAGAATGAAGATTGTAAACATGATGTTTGAATGATTCATGATGTATTTACAACATAGAAATCTTGTCTATTTGTGGAGATGAGATGCTAAAGTATATTTTTTTTCTTGATAACATTAATGATGAAAAATACCCCTAAAATATATATTAATAATGAATAAATATTTCTTACACAAGTATTAATGCGTTAAAAATATGGTAGGCTATTAAAAGATTTTTTATACACTAGTTATTATACAATATTAATATTAATAAAAATATAATGAATCTTTAAAAAAAATTTATATACTTAAAAAGTATAAAAAGAATAAGATTTAAAATATAATCGATAAAATTTTCTCAAAGGCCAAGCCCATAAAAGTCAAAATCTATAACTTTAGGCTTTTCTTCGAGGTTATGAGCTCATAAGAGTTTGACTCTTCTTCTAAGCTAAATTTACGACATCAAACTTTAACTTTTTTTCAAGGTTAAACTCATAAAAGCTAGAGTCTCCTCTTTCTAAGCTAAATTTACGACATCAAACTTTTTCTCAAGGTTAAACTCATAAAAGCTAGATTCTCCTCCTAGTTTAATTCCATGTTTAATTCCATGAAAATAAAGTATGGGCATGTTGCTCAAAATCATGAATTTTTACATCTTCATATGATTTTTTAGACCAATTAAGATTTATTAGATATACCCAAGCCCTAACTCTTATATTTTTATAGATCAAGAAAGGAAATGCTAAACAATTGACTATTGATCTTAAATGGAATGGAACGAGTGTGATAGATACGGAGGTAATAGCCATGTTATTAGAATTGATTAGCGAAAAATAATGGCAAGTCATTAGATTAATTGTTTGTCATTTCAAGTTATAAAATCATACATAAAAGAAAAAAGGCAAAATAATTCGTTCCATCACCCCCCCCCCCTCAAGTTTTTTTAATTTGATAGTAAGAGTATCTTTAACCTAGTACACGTGTCCATGAATATCGATTTTAATGACATATTTTTCATGTCAATCTGTTATATTTAAATAAATAAATCGAATAAGCTTTCTTGACGTGGGCACAAAATAAAATAAAAATAAAAATAAATCTCAGAAACCATAACGCCAACCCTATGAGATTATCGTCACTCAACAATTCAGAAAACAGATTTTCATCACTTCAGGAGGATTTTAAAAAAAAAACCTTGTGAGTTTATATGGTGGGCCGCTAGTGGGCTTAAAGCTTGTGTCAAGCTTAACGCTGAACTGTCAAATAGGTGGGCTCAATCATCTCATATACTCGGCCCATTAAAAGACAGAAATCATCTAATTTTCAGTGAGGTCTTAGATTTCCTATCCAAGTCATATAAATTCGAGATTTTTTATCAGAGTTATTAAAAATTTAAATAGTAGTCAATATCAGGGTTTATGTGAATAGCTGTGATGATCTGGATAATTATATTAAAAAAAAAGAAAAAAAGAAAAAGAGAGGCAGAAACCTGTCCAAGTGCACTCTCCATCCCAAATGTACTTTTTTATTTAAAAAACCTCTCAAAACGTGAAAGTTGGCTGAGATATTTTCTTCTCTCTCCCTTCCACGTACACAAACTGTAGCTTTTTATATCCATCTCCGACAACATAAACATAAACAGACGCCATTCTTCCATTTTCCTTCCAGGGAATAATAATCAGATTCCTCTCTCTTCTATGTTACTCTCCATCTTCTTTGTTTTCTCTCCCCTACTGATTAAGTACGTGAACTTCCTTAGCTATTAAAGAGCCTTCACTCTCATGTTATTTTCAGTTTTTTTTTTTTGGCATTTGCTGGCTGGTTTGTTACTTTCAAATTTTTGCAGCGGATTTGATTTTTGTCGGTAAATGAGCAATCCTACTAGAACTATGCACATACACATTTCAGTAATATTTTGTTACTGTAACTTCTTCTTCTTCCTCTTCTTTTATTTTGCGTGTGTGATGGGATATTGTTGCCTGACTTTATATTGACGTGCTCGTTGATTTCCTGCATCAAATTTATAGTCTATCTAGCGATTTTATGTGGTTTTTGGTTTTCTAGATTTTCTTGGATGGCTGTTTTTTCTTTGTTTGACGTGGTCTAGGATTCCTTTTCCTTTGTTGTAGAAAAGAATTGTTACAACGTAGTGGTTTCGGGAACTCTATAAATGTAAGAATTTAATTTGTGGTGTTGTCTTAATAATTAACACAATGGTGCGAGAGGGGTTTCCTTAGGTTATGTGAGTGGGTGTAATTGAGTTTGAAAATCATACTCAATGTTCGTGCTGTATTTTTATCCCTAATAGCTAAGAGTTTCTTTTCTTTTAATCTTTTTTTTTTTTTGCTTACGGGATTTGCCAAACCGCTTAAAAAATTTGGGATTGAGTTTCTCTATTTTGAATTTTCTATTAAATTGTCATGCCCGGTAACTGTTTTTCATGCAATCCTGACTACATGAACAAGTGGTAGTGGGGATAACCAATCGGCTTGGATACAATCGCAACTATTGGTATTAAAGCTTGGTTGATTTAGTTTGAGATTCAATACGTGGTCGAGAAATTAATAGAAGAAAATGAATATGACAGAAAACGAGGGGGATTTGGCCCTTCTACTTCATGCTTTGATTTGTTGTGTAATGGGGAGTTTGAGCAGGGATTTGCTTTCTTCTTTTTTTATTTTTTATTTTTTGTGATGACTAATTGCCTAATGAATGAATCGTGTGCTATAAGAAACCGCATCGTGGGTGTTTTTCTATTTTTTGATTAGGCTGAAAAAAGAGAGAGATCTATTGAATTTTTTTTGTCTGCCTTCTTTAATCGGTGGCTATTACTTATTACTAGTTTGCTTGAGATTGCACACTGCAAAATTATGTTTTGTACTGTGTTAGTCATGAAGTTACAGAAACTGTTTGTTAATGTGAAACTGCCGTGACAGTGACTGTTAACCTATGCCCTTGGTCCCTTATATTCAGCCCGGATTCTCTTTCAAATAATGTATTGGAAGAGATATTGCACACTATACTTCTAGTGAAGATTAAAGTTTATCTTCAATGAACTTGACATCCAATGTAAAGGGCAAAAGGAAATGCTAGTCAAAATTGACATTAAGGACGTGTTTCTAGGTGGCTCTGTAGAACAAACACGCAAACATTACGAGGGTGAATGCAAGGCTTTTTGCTGATTGAATACACAGATTCTTTAAGTAGGTTTGGTCATCAGTATGCTGAATGAGAGTACAAGGGTTAATGAGTAACTGTAGATGGTGTTTGAAGTTGTAGGTATGGATGATTCTGGGTGCTGCCATGTCCAAGCTCATGTTACTTTCTCTACCCTTTTAATGGTTCTTTTAGTATCCAGAAAGTACAGAAAGGAGATTTCAGGATTCATTTTAATAGGTGATTTCTCAATTGAAAGATAAATATTTATTGGTACAATTCATTTGTATCACCACTTGCTCCATTCCAACACAATGGAATTTGATTTCTTGCTTCTGATTATGTATCTAAAACTCAATTTGCAGTAGGCTTACTGTGTCATTTCCTCCTTCATATTGTAGTAAAGGTAGAGCTTTCTTTCTTTTCTTTAATTTTTCTACTCAACCTAACAATTGCTTTTTCTTTCAATGCTCAAGGACAAATTTGTTCCTGAGTTTATCAAACCACCCATTTAGTAGATGTTTTATACCTTATGTAGAGGTCAGTATCACTTCAAAGTTAGAATTTGGTACCTCTATTTCATGATTTCTATTTTTGCTGGTCTCAGTTTTATTTTCTTGCTATGATCATGTTCATTTATGTTTCTAGAAACTAGTTCAGGGCATGCTACTTGCTTACCATTATTGGCTAACAAGATGTAATTTTATTCAGGAGACGGGGTGATTGATTTTGCTATGTGCAACTACTTTCTGGCAAAACCTCTACATAATCTTCAGAAAAGTATAGTAAATATTAGATTTCCAACTCATGTGTCTCTAAATTAAATATCAAACTCGTGAGTCTAAAACAATGTACTTCTTTATAAGTTAATGTAAGAATACATGGTTTGATGAGCTCATCCATTTACTCAGTTTAACAGATGGAGGTAAGAACCTTTCTGCCACTGGCTTTATGACACATTACTTCCTAATCAGTCATAGTCTTTTAAGTTTTTCATGAATTAGTTGTCTGGTAGTAGGCACATGCACTGTTAACATTTGCTTTTGTTAGTTTAGTGGTCCTAACTGCAGAGAGCCATCTTACTCAAGGGAAATTGCAACAAATGGGCTTGGGTTGCAGAGGTGCTGATTCAGATATTGGATAAAATAACTTTATGGAATATGTGAACGGGTAATATCTCTAGATTAAAACCACTTTAGTCCATAAAAGGTTTAGATTTTTCTGATGCTTGTTGAAATACCCAAACTTATGACATGATTACCTAAATAGAAGTTAATTTAGGCCCAAAATCACTTTTGACCCAACTTAACAGGCTAAAAGAAATTCCTCTCCATCATGTGTTGCCGGGGCCTCACTTTGGAATCTTTAAGTTGCAGAAATTAAAAAATTCCGTGGAAGTAAATCCTTCCTTTTTTTCATAGTTGCATCATTATATGTGGTAGTGGGTTTATATAGTCACCAGTGAAGACCAAGTTAAAATCATAAAACCTTTAACAGAACAGAGGCTCAAAGAGAGACTGTGGTCACACATACATGTACTTTAAAAGAATAATGATTTTAATCTTTTCAGTTCATCTTTTTATTATGAATGGAAGTACAAATATATTGGTTATTGAAAAGGTAGCTCGGTTGATGTTGGAAACACAGATAAGTGTAAGTTTTACTTTTTATCAGTGTTTTTAGTTTTAATCTGAAAATCGATATCAAAACAATACCAGTTCCATGAAAATTCTCCCTCACTATCCCTTCTCATCTCCTTTGTTTAATGCGTGTAGACAAATGTGAGTAAAGCATAGGTTTTTTGAAGCATGGATATTGACAGATGCATCAGCATGTGTATGTGATGCTTTGCAAGCATGCCAACAGTGGTTGTACTTGCTAGTGCTCTAATTTTTCTACTAATGTACATCTGAATGCCCTTTACAGTTGTGTTGCTATGGTTTTCATTACTTGCTTCTGTCACTATTCATTCTCGCCGCTTGTTTTCTCATGTTTTGAAGTTTGATGGAACATGCTTAATAATTTGGAATGTCACTTCTGAAGTGGAGAATCTATTGTTGGCTTCCCATAATATATTAATGGACCATTTCTGAGAGGTAATTTTTAATGTGTGTTGAGAATTACCTGAGACTTAGAAAGGTCTGCCTACAAATGGCAAATTACACTCTTAGAAGCTGCTGTAGATGAGGATTATCTTTTTGTTATTGTAGGCAACCCAAGTTTAACTAAAAAGGAAAAGACTTTTATTGCTTTGTATGGTAGCAGCTCAACGACAGGCTGAAAAATCTTTGAACGACATGGTAGATGCTCTGCCCTTTATTTACTGAATTCCTTTGCACGCGCACAGGCAAAATGCTTTTTGTATTCTCTTCCTTGTACTTTAAAGGATCCTGACTGGTGTTGTACTTCAGATATTGGATTTTGTCCACTGCATTTACCGAGGAGTCCTGTCTGCTTAGAGCTTGTCTGCGGAGTTCTATGCTAGACATGGAAAAGGGAAATGAGGTATGAACATCAATTCTACATAGCATTCTTCAGATGATTTCAGATTTATAACTTACAATCTCAAGATAGTGAGTTTTTTCTTTCTTTTACTATATTACTGCACAAACTGTGACATGATGTTCAATTAAGTATTTATTCATAGCTGACAAAATCCATGATAGAAAATATAAATTTGTGGCATCGTTAAGCACCTTTTCCCTTATTTCCTAGTTTTTATTTCTTTTATCATTAGGTTTTATTGTGTTTTTGATATGGGACAAAAGAGATTTAAAACTAAAGAAGAGAGAAAAGAAGAAGCTACGAAGAAAAAACCAAGGACAGAGAAGAAAAAGCTGAAGAAGAGAAGAATAGGGAAAAATCTCGAAATATGTAATTTTTATTCAATTCATCAACAACTTGTCTAACATTTAGAAAAATAGAATATAAATACTAAAACCCTAACTAGAACAAATAATACAATAACTAGAAATAAACTTAAATAAAACAATAATGAAATGAAGCCCAATAAATAAATTCAAATAAAATCCAATAACACAAGGGTTGAGCTATCAATGATAATAAAAAGACCAATGACAAAATTTGAATGGCAATATATAAAGCGAGCAAATAAATCAGGGTGTAATGCAATGCAAGGAAGGTATTATTTTTTAGGCACATAGGTACTATCAATGATAATTTGAATAATAAGTGTAATGCCACAGCCACAATAAAATTCAACATATGAAAAGGTCAAGTGATTTACTGTTGGGAAGATGCTGCAAGCTACTGCTGCTGACGTGGTGAAGAGTGCTGACATAGCATTGGGGGTGATAATGTGCCGCTGATGTGGTGATGACGTGGCAATGCGCTACTGACATGGCGGTGTGCTGTTGACATGGCGATGCTGATGATGTGGGAATATGATGATGATCTGTCAGTGCAGCGCTGACGTGGCCGTGTGCTGCTGATGTGGCTACGCAAGGTTTGTTTGTTTGTTTTTTTTTTTTTTTTTTTTTCAGAACTGGGTTATAAAACAAAAGGATTATTATTATTTTTTTCGGGTTTTTTTGTTTTTTTTTTTTTTTTTTTTTCAGAACTGGGTTATAAAACAAAAGGATTATTATTATTTTTTTCCATATCTGGGTTGTAAACAGAAAGATTAATTTTTTTTTTCAATCGTCGATAATGATTCTACACAGTTTCTAGGGTTTAGGAACTATGTTGAATTTTAAGGATTTTCACAAGCTCTAAGAGATCGATTATCCGTAAATACAATTAAAAGTCTGATTCCACAATTAAAAGTCTGATTCCAAAGTTGACGCGGGACAGTCCGTAAATACAATTAAAAGTCTGATTCCAAAGTTGATGCGGGACAAAATAGATTTAAAGCTAAAAAAGAGAGAAGAAGAAGCTAAGAAGATAAAGCTAAAAAACGATAGGATATAAATACTACCTAACAATAATTAAATGAAGTCTAATAAATAAACATGAATAAAATCAAATAACATAAGGGTTGGACTATCCTCCATCATCATAGATCATATGGACATGTGAACCATGTCTCAGGTATGTTGTCCCCATCAGTTTTACTTCAAGGATCATGTATTGTTAACTATAAATCAAGCTTTCTGATTTGGTAACTATGCTTTATCCCATTGGAAATTGGTATCTTATACGATTAGGTCAATTGTTATTATTTTGCAAACTTCTTATTCACTGTCTTCTTTCATGAATTTCCATTTAAAGAATTGAAGAATGTATACAATAACAGAAAAGAGCATAGAAATCAGAACTTCCAATCAAATAATGATCAACAAACACACAAGTCTTTCACTAAGATTTTTATGAATCCTTCTCTCTAAGGAAAGCATATATAGACACCACATTTCATTTAGCAGTTCATTTCCGTTGAGCACATTTAAATTTTTTAGACATCTAGTAACACCTGGCTCACATTGAGCTTTTCATTATTGCATATTTTGATATGGATAGCTGGTCTGGCAATTATTTACACCAACCACTAATTTTAGTATTAAACATATCATACCAAATGGGATGGTCCTGCTGCCGAGCATCTTTCTCAGATGATGCTTGAGATCTCATTGTTAAGCTTAGATCTGTGTGGTGGATGATGACTGATAAGTGATAAACATCCACAGTTATCAACTGCTTTAATATCGGAGTTGCAACCTTTTGCAAATTTTGAAAAGAATGTTATCAGGTTTTTTGTTAAGTCAATTGCTCTGATAAAGATTAATATACAATTGCTCATATTGTGAAGAGAACTTACCCCAGTTTCATTGAGCTTGCTGGTGCTTCACTGTTATGAGGCTGGGGCTGGCTCAATTGGAGACGGATTGGGGCATGCAAATCATATCCATTTTCTACTGTGTAGGGTGAACGGGAAGCTCTGTTTGCTTCATCCACATTCTGTTCTCTATAAACCTGGGATAAGAAACTTCTAATTTAGGCTTTTAGCATGTTGATGAATGTTCACTTTCTAAAATATCAAGATCAGGTTCCACAGGCCTTTTAGCTCACTGCTATATACGTATGGTTCCCATACTCTAGACTTGAATTCTAGATTTGTTGTTTAAGAGCTACCTGATTGTTCCACAGGCCTTTTAGCTCACTGCTATATAGGTAGGAGGGAGTGCAGGAGGGAGTGCATTCTATGAAGAATGTGTGTATAAATTCTTTGTAGGTTCCTTATTTCGTGGTAAAAAGTGAAGTTCAGAGTTGAATGGGAGATGGATAAAATTTCTTAGTGATACATGTGTTACCAAGACTAGTACCTTACGCAATTCTGCATTTTCTTGAGTGATGAGTTCAACCTTCTTATGCAGTTCTAAGTTTTCTTGATAAATTCGATTACCCTGCAATGAAGCCAATCAAAGCCAGTGAGCATGAGAATGTCTGTACAATCAATTTGGGAAATATTGAAGGCAATAGTCCAGAAACCTTTTGGCTCATCTCTTTAATTTCATCAGTTAAAATTTGTTCCTGTGTGCAAAAAAAGGCTGCATTAGCATCGAGTGCATGCTGCGTACATGTACAAAAAGTGATCTTGAGATCAGTATAGGTTTACCTTTTTAATTCGAACACCTTTCATACTCTTCTCCAGCTGGTTTTCTAGATTTTCTAGATCTTTGATGCTCAAACCAGACAGTTCTTCTCCCATCAATTGCCTGCAACATCTCAAGGCAAATGTTAGGTATGGTGCCAGAGTTTTATACTTGTCCATGAATATAGTTAGAAAGAAAACTTGTCCATGGATGCATAAATCTATTAGTTTTTCTTGTGGCAGATGTGGCTACAACTGCGATCCATCCATGATGTGAAACATAACATGGCCGTAAATTTTTTTAACCACATAGCCTACACCATTATTTTAAGGCCAACGGTGACTTCTTGTTGAGATCCTCTATTGAGAATATTCAGTGATAATTAACTTTACCGACGATATTCTTGCAAGCACTGCAGTTCCTTCCTCAAGCTTGCTGCCTCCTTTTTCCAAAACTAGTGAGCAGAAAATGAAGCACATCATATAACAAGCAATAATTTGGAGTAGAATAGAATTGATGAGAGCTGCTTGAAGAAGTGATTGCCTCAGAAATCTGCATGTTCATGCTACAATCTACAGAGAACACTTAATGAGATGGTCATGTATTCAGTTTTGCACAGAGTAATTTTATTTTTGAATATTGTAAATGTTCCTGTATGGTGGCGTTACTATTGTGTTTGGTTGCAGATAAAATTAAATTGAACATGGCTTGGCACAATAGAAAATCATTGTGCATAGCGCATGACTTTTGAATACCCTTTTGAGTTAATGAAATGTTGAGATTGGTTCTTGTAATAACTTGTGTGTTTGCACATGTTGTATCATTTCTATTTGTGTGTTTCGCTTGTCTTATAACAGGGAAGAGTGTTGGGAAACTTTTTGGTGAAGAAAAACACTTTGTTGCTAGGCAAAGACCGAGTGGATTGACAGAGAGAGAGCTGAATCTGACAATGAACTGGGCTACTGTATAGGGCTGGAAGATTTTGACGAGAACCCAGTGACAATTGGTTGGTGATCATCATGCATGCTTCTTTAGTGACAATTGGTTGGTGATCATCATGCATGATATGAATGATAGTTTAGAGTCGCAGCTCTTGCATGCTTCTTTATTTATAGATGACTTGGAAGTTGGAACCATAATGATGTCGCTTGATGTTTATCCATAGAGCTATCTCCTTGAAACACAATTATTTTAATCCATTCAATGTTTGTGAATGGTGTGTGCATTGATCCAAATCTGTAAAATCTGGCAGACAATGCTATATTTGTGAAACCAGTTGCTTTCTTTTTTCAAGTCAAAGGCAGGTTCAAGCGTGGGAGCGATGAAAAACCATGAAGCTGCTTATAAATCTAGATGCTTTTTCATAGTGGCCCTAGAGCCATTGACAACTCCCCTCGAGTAAAAATGCAATCACTTGAGTGGATATGCCTCCATGCATGCTGTAAATCTCGCAAAGCAATATAAGTGTTTGTTGAGTGCTTACCTTCACTTCTGAAGCAGGATTTAACAGTGGCTGGCACTCCTCTTTTTGTTTGCTGTAGCGTTCAATGATGGACTTCATACTGAATCAGGGCAGGGAGTTCAGAAAAATCAGGGTTTCTTCTTTATGGCGATGCAACTTCGAAGTAAGTAATGACACTAGTCAGGTGTAATTTAAAAGCAAAAGCAGGACAAATGCTCTCAATTGAAAGAAAATTCAAGCACATCTATAGCTAACTGATGCCTTTCCTCTATCAATGCCTTTTTTCTGATTCGCGTGTGAAGTGGAAATACTGTCTCCTTAACTCTGTTCGTGTTTGAATGGCTACAGTTTACCGCAAGCGAGACAATGAAACTGCAGGTGCGCCTTGTTCGCCCCCTTGTCCTCATCAATGCCATTTTCTGATCCTTTGCTTTGACGTTGGTCGCGGTTACAAGCAAAGAGAATTGCCCTTGATTATTTGTTTTTGAGGTAGAAAAGTGTTTTAATAGTTTTGCACTATTTTTATAAATAAAAAACATAATAAATCTAGAGGTTCTTCATAGTAGAGGTTCTTCATAGTTTTGCACTATTTTTATAAATAAAAAACATAAACAATATATTTTGTTTCTTTTATATACAAACAACTTTTAGTGTAAAAGATTAAAATTGGTTTTTTTTTTTTGTACTTTCATATTTAGTTAGTGTCATAAACTTGATTCTTATTATATATTTAACATGAATATATATCCTTCTTTTTTAAGTTAGTTATATAACTTTTTCATAATATTTTTTAATTTGAATGAAATAAATTTAATACTGTTTTTTTTATTGGAATGAAATAAATTTAATACTGTTTTTTTTTTTTTTTTCATTAAAAAAACAGAAAACTGAAAATAAATGAAAATGAAAAATAATTCTCTGTTAATAAATATAATCTAAAATTTCCAACTGTTCACCATAATTTTAACAATGGCACCTGATTTTATCAACTGGTGACTGCCACTGCCACCAACGTTTCCTAACGCCCACCATGCTATTGCCATGATTGGCTGGTGGCACCAGCTAAACTGCGACCTACTATCACTATTCTCACCGCAGCCGCCTATCTCATTGTCATCCATGGATTATCACTAGTGAGCTAATAACCACCCAAAAGTGCCGCTAGAAATCCAAGCCAACAGAGCAACCCAAAGTTACCATGGTCAAGTGTTCGCTACCGCAGCCAGTGGTGAGTGCTCGCTGCCATCACCACCATCACTTGGTGACCACTGCGATTACCGTGTTGATGGCTTGTCTGTTGTCACTACTGCTAAGATTCATTGGCCCATGGCCCGTGCCCTTTATTAATATTTCTACTGACTAACATCAACCACCGGTGCCACCAACACCTGCAGTCGCCACCACCACGCTAAGATTCATTGGCCCATGGCCCGTGCCTTAAAATATATATCCTTTATTTATCACCCCTGGCAACTATGCACCACCGTGGTCTAATTAATAAATAACTAGTAGTTACCATCACTTTGTAAGATTAAAAACAAGAAATCAAAACCATAGTACTAACACTAGCTGCTATATTTTGATGGACAAAAAACAAGAAAAGATCGATGCTCGAAACGAGGGGAAAGGTCAGAGGTGATATTAAAGCGGGCCGTGCATGATGTCATACAAATGTAATAAACGGTGCCGTAGATAAAAGATAATGGGAACAGAAAGGATGTTTTTGTGTGCTAAAAGTAGAAAAATTCATGACCAATGAAATAGATCGATGGAAGTGAAACAATGCAATCAACTACGTACAAATGTAAAAACATTCTTCTGTCTATCTCGATTCTAATTAAAAAGTTTCATATTGATGTTTATTTTACGTTATCGCAATCCCTTCAAAATGAAAATGAAATATATATATATATATATATATATATATATATATATATTTTAATCTAAAAGGTTGTAGTTAAGATATGGGTTAATTATATATAATTATCACTATGTTTTTATTAGCAGATGGTAAGGCATTTTAGTATAGTTAACTCATATGTTCACTACAACCTTTTAGATTAAAAATAAAAAATATATATCCTTTATTTATCCTTTGGTATGGTATAAACTACAAGATAGTTAAGTATTCCCAGGTAAGATATGTGTGGCAGGATCTGAAATTATATTTATGTTTTCAATCTAAAGATCGTTATCAAGATATGGGTTAATTATACTAAAATGCCTTACCATTTGCTAATAAAAACATACCATGGTCCATATCTTGACTACGAGCTTTTAGATTAAAAATGAAATATATATATATGCCCTTACATCTTAAGGAGGCATTTTATATACTTAAAATATTTCATGGGAAATATTTTTCTAATTATTTTGTATTTATTCTAAAATATGTTATCAAAATATAAACATGTTACATTTATTAGTTTTTTTATATGATGAAATATTATCGAAACAATAATTAACTTAAAATATCATTCGACATGTCAACCATCATCATTTTATTACCATCACCATCATGATATCATCTCTATCACTCAATTCTATATCAAGAAATATATAATTATTTTATTTTATTTATTAACTGTAAAATAATATTTTTATTTTTTTTAGTTTAGTTTATATATAATTTATATTCCTTTATATTATTGTGATCACATCATGTAATATCAATGAAATCCTAACATTGTCTTCTCTTATTTTTGTATTTTTTTTATTTCTTTGAATTGTTTTATATGGTATCAATGCATGGTTTCATGAAACAAGGTTAGGGGTTTTGTAGGGGGTAACATGCCCATACCAAAGTTCGAGGTGGAGCCTTGATTTTTGATTTTTAGAGTGCTCATATAACTTTGAAAAGATATTTGTTTAGATTTTGTAATTTGATATTTCATTTTCCTTTGTTTTTTTTTTTATGTTTTGGTTTTCTTTATTTGTTGATTATGCTATTAAAAGAGATGATTCTTTTCAGTTTGTAAGTGTGAGGTTAGATGAAAATAATTTTTTTTAATGGTAAAAAGATGTAGAGATATGTTAATAAAACTTCTGTGATACCTAGAAATATCGATAAGAGTTATACTACTTTGATATATACATAAGAAGCAAACAATGTAAAAATTATTACTTGGATTAACAATTTTGTTGAGCATTCTATAGATACATAGTTGATAAAGTATAGGACATTAAAAGAGGTTTAAGATCATTTGCAAATGTTATTTATGCAATCAAATTTTGAAAAGCAGTGTCAATTAGAGAATGATATACAAACTCTTTAAAAAAAAAATATATGAGTATTCAGGAGTTTTATTATGCTATAATATATCTTTAGGATCAATTAGCTCTTATAGAATCAACATAATTAAAGGAATGTGGTACCTATATTACTCATAGAGAGGAATACTGATTGATATAATTTTTAATGATACTTTATAGTGATTTTGAAAGACTTAAACGTTCAACTTTGCATCGTTCTCCACTACTTTTTGTTGATTTAGTTGTCAATGAGTTATTGGCTGAAGAAATACGTCTTCAATCTTATTTTAAAAAGAGAATTCTTTATTATTCTAATCTTTCTATGCTAGCAGTACCTTTTAAGTCATTCTCTAATAATTATAATAAGTTTTACATAAGAGTTGTTTTTGATAAGTGCAGTTTTTATAAGCATAAAAATCATTAGAAGGTTTAGTGTCGCAAGTTGAGACAATAAAATCAAGCTCAAAAACTTGACAGCTGGTCACAATCTAATGTTTATAGACTATTTTAGGGTAATAAATCACCATACCATAATATTACAAAAATAATTTCATTAAGTTCTTTCACCAATCTTAGTACTCTAACTGAGCAATTTTAAAAGTTTCTTTCTTTACAACCACAAGTCATGACCATTTATTTTTTCTATAGGTTAGTTGCCTTATAATTCTTTAGGTATGTCACATTCTAACTGGGTCTTGAATTCTAGTGTTTCACATTATATGCCTCCAGATTCTTCATCTTTTGCTTCCATGTCCTCTTTACCTTCTATTCTTGTCATAGCTACTAATGACACTCTTATGCCCTTAAGAAGTGTTGGTTTTGTTATTACACTTCACTTGTCTCACCTTAATGCTTTTCTTATTCCAAAACTCATATTAAATCTTGCTTATGTTGGTCAGTCATGTGATTCTAGTGATTATTTAGTCATCTTTTCCTTTTCTTTTTGTTACGTTCAAGATTTGCAGTTTTAGAAGCTAATTGGAACAGACTGTAGGAAGAATGAACTATATCATCAGTTACTGCTGCTGTTATTAGTTTTAATTTGTCTTCTTTTCATTTGAGTCCTTTTTCTAGTTTTTATTTATGGTATTCTCGTTTAGATCATGTTTTGTCTTCTCATTTGAGATTTAAGGTATCCATAAGAGCTTTAGAGAATTCATAAATTTTTTATATTTATAATTGTAATGGATGTAAACTGATAAAATTTTCTACTTTAACTTTTAATCGAAATATTTTTGTTTCTTCTTTTACATTTGATTTGATTCATTCTAATGTATAAGGACTTTTCATATTGTCACAAAAAAGGATCTCGATATTATGTTTCTTTTATTGATGATGATCATACTCGTTATTATTTGGCTTATTTAATGAAGCATTATTCTGAATTTTTTTTAGATATATACAACCTTTCGAGCACCTGTCAAAACTTAACATTTCACTGTTATCAAATGTTTTAGGAGTGATTTAGGTGAGATATAGAATAAATTCTATGAGTTTCTTTTCTTAGATGAAACCATTCACCAAACTTTGTGTACAGATGCTCCTAGGCAAAATGATCTCTTGTTGTTTACTTTTGTTCCTGGTGTGTTTTGAGGAGAAGTTGTTCTTACTACTGTAAGTTTGATTAATATAATTCTATCTTCTTATATTTTAGATTTTTCTCCTTTTAAAAAGTTGTATGATTATGCCCCTAATTATTCATTCTTTAGAGTTTTTTCTTGTACTTGTTTTGTTCTTTGTCCTCATGTAGAATGCAGTAAGTTGTTCTTTTAATTTGCTATTTTTGTCTTTTTAGGTTATAATAAAGGTAAAAAAGGATATTGTTGTTTTGATCCAATAAATCAAAAACTTTATGTATCTCATCATATTGTTTTTCTCAAGCATATACCTTTCTTTTATATTCTATCCACTACTTATAGCTTGACTAGATCTGATCTTATTCATACAAATCTTTTTTCTGAAGATTCTCATAGTTTATCATCTCAAGTTCCCAGTACTTTAAATACCTCTTTTCATGTT